AGCACTCGGGGGTGGAGATCATCAGGACCTGCTGATTTAGATATGTTCAGTCCCTCCAGAAGTTTCTTGACTCAGTCCTTACTGACCCTAGCCCTGGCTGCACTTCCCCTGGGTCCTATGGGGGTACCGGTTGGGTGACCCGGTCCCTGCTCAGAAAAATGGAGGCAAAGAAACTGTTAAATAAGCTAGTTTTGCTGTCTGGTGAGATGACCAGATTTCCTAGCGTGTCCTGCAGAGGCCCCACGTTACTCGGTACCTTCTTTTTGCCTCCTACGTATTTAAAAAAGGACTTCTTGTAGTCCTTGATCCGGGTCACTAGTCCCAGTCCCACCTCTGCCTTGGCCTTCCTGACCCCCCTGCAGCCCTGAGCAACCACAGTATAGTCCTCCCTGGTGATGGCCCCTCCCTGCCATTGGGTGTACGTCTCCTTTATAGCTAGGAGACGTTCCTGTATGCTTTTGGTGAGCCAGGGAGGCTTTTATATCTATTTCTTCCTGCATTACATCTGAATATGTTTTCTCAGTGGGTTTTCAAGACTGAACCGTTTCACAGGGTGGTCGCACAGCAGTGACTGCAGTGTAGCATGCAGCTCGCTGGGGGCTAGATAATACTGGAGATCAGCAGCACCAAACACACTGTGAGCTGCAAAAGCCACGCGAGCAGAGTCGATTAGCTTGTGCTGAACTCTGTAATGGCAGCAGATACGTTCTGTATCATCCTGATAACTTTTCTTTTTTTTTTTTCCAGTTGGCTGCCAAATCCTGGCCCTCCATTTGCTCCTCACTTCCAGGTGGTAAATGTCCTCAGGCATTAGGCCTTTTCAGACTACCACTAATGACTTAATACCAAATTACCTGCAGTCAGCCCAGCCCAGCTGGAACTGGACACCCAGTCCTTCCACCTATGGAGTCAAAGGCACCTGAATGTAATAGTGGCCAAGGTGTGCCCTTGAGTGCCGTGAGAAGTGGCTGTCACATGTGGACTGGCGAGGGGCTGTGGAAAGTGGTGGTGGTGTGGGGAGTGGCGGCAGCAGTGGCAGGTGGGCATGCAGGAGGGAAAGCAGGGAAACGGCGGGGGAGTGGTGGCAGCAGGTGGGAGTGCAGAACCCATGCTGGTGCCTCGGGGCTGGAGGGAACCCATGGTGGGTCAGCAGGAGTGTGATGCCTGGGCGTGGGATCTACCTGGCTGCATCCGTGAGGCTCGCACGCAGTCCATGAGAGCGGTATGTGATGGAGCCGGTGGCCCGGCCCTTCTTCCCCTACCCCGCCACCTACCATAACCCCACACCCATCCACATACACACATGGCCACTTCC